TTTTATCAGTCTTCTCAATTTAAAAAATATTATTTTATTGCCTAAATTTAATAATCATTTTTTAAGTATTCGAATTTATAAATAATTATATTTTTTTCTTCTTCTTATAATAATGGTACGAGCGATTACAATCTCTCTTACCTTCTACCTTTTCATCTTAAAATATTATTTAATAATTTAAATTTTGCTACTTTAAAATAGAGATAAATCTACATCTCAAAAATTTGCTTAAAAACACATGGTTAATTACTTATGCATGTTCACACAAATGTGTAATCTTATTTAATTTTTAATTTTAAAATATATTAAATCATTATCAATTTATATTTAATAATTGTATATAATTGCTAATCTCTTCAATCCTCTCTCTCTATATATCTCTCTCTATATATAAATCCATTGAGTATGATGCATTTTGTCTCTATCTCAATTTGATATATTCAAAGTAAAAAAGGTTGCAAATAGTTAAAATAAAAATTAAGTATAGTTATACATAATTAAAAATTAAGGTATTTCATAAATAAAATTCAAAGAGCCAACATTATAGAGAATTATAAAAATTAATAGTAATCATATGTAATCACTAAATGAACACTAATCACCTGGCATAGTGTATTAAGTTTAAGAAATTTAAAATTAATAAAAAATTATTTTTAAAATAATACATTATTTAATTATTTAATAACTAATAATAACGTCAAAACAAAACATATATGATATGACCTTATTATATACATATAAAAAAAATACAATCTATCTATCTCTCTATAATATATATATATATATATATATATATATATATATATATATATATATATATATATATAATTAAAAAAGTTTACGTTATACATTACCTCGTCATAATAATCATTCCCATCATTATATATTTTTTTAAATTCAATTAAACTGATAATCCAATTATTGACAAAATACATAACTTTTTTTTCACATTTAAAAAATATTTATCAGAAACAACATGTTAACGGGGGTGACTGTATCCATATTTAGTTTTATAATTTAATTATGTATAATATTTAGATTAAAATGTTATATTATAAGAAGTGAGATTGGACCTTTTTTTTATATATGGTGTGAAGTGTTGATTAGGAAATGGTATAAAATCAAATTGATGCTTGCTTTTGTGTAGTCTTTTTCCAATTACAAATCACTATTCTTACTTTTAAAGCATTCATGGTCGGGACAATTAAGTGTATTTTGTGTCTTCTCAACTATTTTATAAACATTTGAAGTCATAAGATCAATGATAGTAACTGCAAATTACCTTTTTAGGTTCAGGTTTTTTCTTGAGTGGAAGCCGTGGCTATTACATGGTGGTTTTTCAATATGATTCCATTGTATTGTTTAATGTCCCTGAGCATGAGGTAGATGACTATTTGAGTATTGTTAAGAAGCATGTAGTGGGTTCAGGTAAACGGTTTATTAAGAAAACAGCTTGCAAAACAGCATAAGACCAAAAAACCATAGGAATATTAGATTGAAAAACGAGACTCCTACTAACTTCTAGAATATGTCTATGTTTTCTTTCAACAATATAATTCTGTTGGGGAGTTTCTATGCAACTGGTTTGATGTATTATACCAAAATTATCATACAAGTCTCTACACATAAACTCACTTCCATTATCAGAACGTATGATTTTAATTTTCTTGTGAAATTGGGTATTAACCATGAGCACAAACTTTGATAAAGCATCTCTAGTTTCAACCTTTGTTTTCATCAAAAACACCCAACAAAACCTACTGTGGCCATCTACTATAGTCAGAAAGAACTTGTGTCCATGTATAGAGGTGGTGCCATAGGGACCCCAAATGTCAACATGTATCAAATAAAAAACATGTTCAGAATACGAGCTACTAGTACTAAAGGAAAGTCTAGTTTGCTTTGAAAAATGACATATATCACATGGTTTGATCTCACTAAAAATAATGTAAGGAAAACGTTTACTGATAAGATGTAGAACTTTATTTGAGGGATGTTCCAGCCTCTTGTGCCAAATTCCCCCATCTTGATTCTTTGAGTTACCATTACGTGTTTCAGTGATGCTGGAAAAGGAATTGATAGTCTTCTTTGCGGCTGATAGTTGCAGTAGGTACAATCCTTCTTCGAGCTTAGCTTCTCCAATCATCTTCAAGGAATAGGCATCTTGGATTTGGCACAACTCAGAGGAAAAAATCAGTTTCCAGTTATGGGATCTAACAATCCTTTGCACAGAAATAAGATTGAAAGCAAACTCGGGTACAAGAAACACATTATGCAAGAAAAAATTATCAAATAGTTGTACAGTGCCATCATAGTGTGCAAATATATGTGATCCATTTGACAGTTTAACACATGTCGGTCTTATCTTTCTAAAAATCACAAAATTAGAAACATCAAAGGAGGTAACATGGTATGTTGCTCCTGTATCTAGAATCCATGTAATGTTTTTGTTCTTACCATTAGGAACGTTCTCACTAGTAGAATTAGACACTAGGTTGTTAACTTTGTGTGAAACGTCACCTTTGGCTTCTTGAATCATTTTTATGATTTGATGCATTTGTTCATCTGAGAAGAGACTACCTTCCTTGCTCAACCGCTGATCTTGCTTTTTAATCACAGTTTCATCATTCTCAGCAATAGTGTTGTTAATCACCTTTTCACCTTTGGTCTTGTACCAAGGGGGATAGCCGTGCTTTGCATAACACTCATCTATTGTGTGGTATAGCTTGTGACAATAGCTACACTGTTTGCCATTATTCTGATTCCTGTTTTTGCCTCGTCCTTGTCCCTTCCAATTATCATGATTCTTGGAGTTTCTTTGATCCTCAGTGCTCACTGTAGTCATCAAGATCTTACTGCCTTCTATGGTGTTCCCATTTAGTTGACGTTCTTGCTACATAACAAGAGAGAAGACACAATTTATACCTGGCAACGGTTCCATTAGTAGAATTTGCGTCTTCACAGTGCCATAAACGTCATTGAGACCTTTCAAGAAACACATGATATACTCGGAATCTTTGTATTTGATAACAGTTATGATGAAGTCACAATCACACTTCACTTTGCCGGTGCAGCTCGGCGTTGGTCTGAGAGATTCAAGTTCCTCCCACAATGCCTTTAGATCCGTGAAAAACATTTGTGACAAATCTTTCTCCCTGTTTGGTTGAATGGAGTTCTTGAAGAAGATCAGAGATCCGGAAGTGATCTCCCTTGGAAAAACGCTCGCGCAGGTCGTCCCATAGTTCTTTCGCATTTTCAATGTATACGACGTTTTGGACGATCTGAGCATTCATGGCACTTGTCAGCCACGATATCACCATCATGTTGCATCTTTCCCAGGCGTCGTGGAGGGTGGTTCCATGTTCTGGCGTTTTGACACTGTCGTCAAGAGACTTGTGTTTGTTCTTGGAGATTAGGGCACGTTTCATGGCGCGACTCCAAGCATGGTAATTGACCCCATCAAGTTTGAATATTGATCAATGTTGCTCCTGGGTTTTCACCAGGATGTAGGTAGAAGGGACTCGAAGGATTTTGAGATTCATCAGTCGTGGATGTCTTCCTTGTTGTCATGAAGAAAACAAGAAAAAAGATTTTGAAAGACGAAAAAAGAAACAGAGAAGATGACCTAGTTTTAGCGGAACCAAATGCTCTGATACCATATTAAGTTTCCATGATTGCTATCATCTTCATAGCTCAAAAGATACAAAAGAAGAAAAGGAAAGAGAGAGATTCTGAAAGAACTTTCTGATATATTCACTTAACATTAGGTATATATGATTTATATAGAGTATTAGAAAAAAAAAAAAAACTGACTATACACATAAAACAGAAAAACTCAACACTATTCGTGTAAATAATATTAAAATACGTCTATTTTTTATAGGTTTATAGGAGAAAAATTTCCCGAGGTTCACTTTTATGCTAAAATTATATCCTGAAATGATATTAGGTTATACTAATAAATGTCATTTTTTAATCTTATTTTTAAATAAAATTTCAGTCGTAGAAACATATTTTTTACATGCACACACTTTGTTTTATCATAAATTAGTATTCATTTATTTCAAATAGATAAGTCTAAATCCTTCTATTTTGTTATTTATTTTATTTATCAAATAGTTAAAATAAAAATTAAATATAGTTATACATAATTAAAAATTAAGGTATTGCATAAGTAAAATTCAAAGAGATAAAATTATAGATAATTATAAAAATTAATAGTAAACCCATATGTATAAACTCTTAAAAAAATACATATGAAAAGTAAAAGAATATCCAAATGATACTCTAAGACAAAAAAAAAAAGTGACAAGGAAGGAGAGGTAGTGAGAAAAATAAAAATTTGAAGGTTTAAAAAAATTGGATATATATGAATCGTTGAAATTCTTGAAATCCCAGATATCATATGTAATCACTAAATGAACACTAATCACCTGGCATAGTGTATTAAGTTTAAGAAATTTAAAATTAATAAAAAATTATTTTTAAAATAATACATTATTTAATTATTTAATAACTAATAATAACGTCAAAACAAAACATATATGATATGACCTTATTATATACATATAATAATCATTCCCATCATTATATATTTTTTTAAATTCAATTAAACTGATAATCCAATTATTGACAAAATACATAACTTTTTTTTTTCACATTTATCTTAAAAAATATTTATCAGAAACAACATGTTAACGGGGGTGACTGTATCCAAATTTAGTTTTATAATTTAATTATGTATAATATTTAGATTAAAATGTTATATTATAAGAAGTGAGATTGGACCTTTTTTTTATATATGGTGTGAAGTGTTGATTAGGAAATGAAGTTAAAATGAAAAAGACGAGCAGGAAAATATTGAAGTAAACAAACAAGAATCAACCGTATTCTTTGTTTATTTCTGTGACAGAGAAATTTATTAGTGAGAAAGAACAATCGCTAAGATTGTGTCATTGCATGCATAGAAGTGCTGTCACAGTGAAGCGCAACGTTGGAACCTAGATGGCCTCATGGAGGACGAAGCTGGCAAGGTCCAAAGCATCAGTGGAGGAGGAGGAGGAGGAGGAATCTGGGAGCATGGAAGCAAAAGACCAAGAGAGCACGTCGTGGGTTTCAAAGTACTCCTTCGTCAGCCCGGTGCAGGCAGAGAACCCAACGCTCACCCACTCGGGAAGAACTTCAGTCACGTCCACTTTTTCGGCGAGGATGAAGCTCGTTTTGTTAGAAGGGTGGACCAAAGAAGCCACCAAAAGGGAGGTGGTGGCGTCATACGTAATGAGAACCTTGGCGTCTTCCCCGTTGGCAAAATCCCACGATGTCGTTTTGATAGAAGTGATGGAGTTTACGTCGATGCCAATGTGCCTGGTTTCAGGGTCCCATTGGTTGTGATGGGTGTCGAACTCCACAGCGAGTGTCTGGAGGGAGCTGTCGTGCTTAGGGTTGTCGAAAAGACCTAGATACCCACCATCGGATTTGGGCTGAGAGTCGACGGGTACCAAAGCAAAGGCAAGCCCATCGGCGGATTTTGACTTGTCGGGAGCGCGAATGTTGAATGTGAAGGAGGTGGCCCAGCTGGCGACGGCGCCGGTCGACTTGTCCCAGACATGGACGGGAGAGGTGTAGAAGGCGCGTCCCGTAGAAAACGGAATGGGAGCACCGGAGGAATTAACGCTGGTGAGTCGTAAGGAACCGGAGGATACCTTGGCGTCAGATTGGAGGATGAGGATGTCAGAGCTAAAGTTTTTGATGCTGAAGGAGAGGAAGTTTTCTGCGTTTGCGTGGGTGAGGAGCACCAGGAAGAGGGAGAGGACGATAGAGAAGTTGTAGGACGCCATGGCTATGATGTCTGGTTGAAGTAGATGTCTGGCTATCATGTCTTGCGTATTTATAGCACAAAGCACGTCGTTAGAAAAAAGAACAATTAGAAAATGGTAGTGATATTTTTAATTCACGTAACATATTACTTTTAAACAATTCATTTTTATTAATATAAAAATTTATTAAAATAATTTAATAAAAATAAAAATAAATTAAAATTATTATTATAATTATATAATTTTATTAATATAATAATCTATTAAAATAATTTAATAAAAATAAATTAAAACTATTATTATAAAAAAATTATATAAAGAAATTATATGGATTTAAATTGGTAAAATATATTTTGCATTTAAAAAAGGTAAAATTCAATACAATAATATAATGATGATATTTATTATTATATTGAATTGTTTAATAGATTTTTTTATAAAGTGAATTGGGAGAATATAATCACCCCACAAACAAACACGATACGGTAAGATAGATTCTACGTTTGGCGCGGTGGATCTTAGCATGTTGTGGTTACGTCTGAGAAAAACTGTGTAAAATCATATTTTCACAACCTAAATTTATACAACTTTTTAAATAATTTTTTTTATATTATAATAATAATTTTATTTAATTTTTATTTTTAAAAGGTTATATAATTTCTTGTTGTAAAATACCACTATGTAAAAACTCCAAAACGTTCCAAAACCTAAATCACGTGTTGAACCGGAACCAAGATAAGAATGGCGATGGTGATATTTGACAACTCACTAACCGTACATGCAAACATCTCATTTATTAATATAAAAAATAAAAATAAATTAAAATTATTATTATAATATTAAATAAAGATTATTTATAAAAGTTGTAAGATAAGAATGCGATGGTGATATTTGACAACCCATTAACCGTTCATGCAAACATCTCATTTATTAATATATAAAATAAAAATAAATTAAAATGATTATTATAATATTAAATAAAGATTGTTTATAAAAGTTGTAAGATAAGAATGCGATGGTGATATTTAACAACCCACTAACCGTACATGCAAACATCTCATTTATTAATATAAAAAATAAAAATAAATTAAAATTATTATTATAATATTAAATAAAAATTATTTATAAAAATGTATGAAAATTGAATGTCAAAGTATCATTGCTGATAAAAATGAGACAAAACCTAAGAATTAATTGGCTTTCGCCACGTTTATTTGTACAACAATTATTTATATATATATATATATATATATATATATATATATATATATATATATATATATTTATATATAAAACAACATGTTATTATATTAACAAGTGAGGTTAATCTTGTTTTGTTATTATATCTTGATCAGGAGATGAGGTTAAAGGAAAACATGAGGAGTAGATAATAAAAATTGTAGATCAAAATTATAACATCTAAAAAGTTGTTTTATGAAAAAAAAAAACTTGAATTTGTACGTAAATTATATATTTTATTTAATAGTAAATAAATTAAACGCAAAAGAAATTATACATATTAAAAACTTCATTTATTTTATTATTATGATCCAGAGATATGTTTTGTCATAAACTTTGATTTGTAGTTTATTTTTTGTATCATATTTATCAGACATAAATTGAAATAATTATGATTAACATCAATTTAATAATCTTGTATATGTTATTTAAACATATTTAGTAAAAATAATCTTGAATATAGTTTATTATTACTATATTCTTTTATTTAGTAAAAATTAATTTTTTTATTTAAACAAAAATTAAAATTTAATAAACTTGATTTATGTCATTAAAAAAAAGTAAATTAAAATTTAATTATATGAAAATGGTGAAATTCTCTATCCAAATACAAAAATAGTTAGAATATATTAATAATTTATTCATTAAATAACACTAATGTGGTTTCTTAAAATAAAATATATCTCTAGTATTTTATACAAATCGGTGTATATTTTTTTATCAAATATATTAATTTGTTTTGAACTTTAATTTATTGTGAATTAAATTTATGAAATATATATATTTTATTAGTAAATGCTTTATTTTCCTTTATTATATTTGTGTTAAAAACTAAAGTGATTTTAACAGTTTTTGAATTTTCTCTTCATTTTCTCAAGAGGGGTTGTTATTACTAATGCAAGGATATAATATCTTTTAATTAAAATATTATATAATAATTTAAATATTAAAATATTGAAATTTTGATAAATTATATTTAAAAACAAGTGCTTCAAAATATATTAGTAGTCAAATCTATTCATACAAATCCATTATTTTTTTTATCAACAATAAAAAATAAAATTAATAGAAGTACAAAGGGTACTTCAACCCATGTACATGAGTCACAGCTATTCAACTCACAAAAGTTTATGAGCACAATTTCAATAATCCTAACATTACCAAAATAAGATTAACTTCTGCTATTGTTCTCTTATTAACAAAGATTCTGTTAATACTAATAGATGAGCCTTATAACCTCTGAATACTCTCGCCCTCCATCTCCTTATAAGGATTCTCGTTTTTGTATTAAGATTACCTGTTAAAACATATATCACCCATCACATATTAACGAGAAGCTATAGAATAATTAATCTCATGCATCTTATCTGTTCATAGAACCAATCGAAATTTAATAAACTCGCTCCATCCCAATCTCTGACACACCAAACTATGAATTTTGTACTTACTTTACTGAATCCTACTTCCGCATCGAATTTCTCATTTTTAAAAATACACTTATTCCTTTGAGACCAGATCTCGTATACCACTATTACCCATAGTCTTTTCCACAACATATTTCCCTTCACTCCTAGTCCTCCTAATACGAAACTTTCTAGGTTTTGCTTTCGCCTCCCAATGACACAACTAATTTCCACCCATCTAAAACACTTTTCCCAAATCTCACTGGTCACCTTACATGTGAAAAAGAGATGATTGGATGTTTCGTCCTTATTTCCACATAAAACACATTTTGGGTCACTTATAGCAACTCTCTCTTATCTTGAAGAATTCTCCATCCTATAATCATGGTCTTTGGGATCCCCTTAATTTTCCATTACTATTTGAAGCTCGCTTCGTTCTCCTCGCAAGTTACATTTGATAGAATCCCATACACTTCTTTTACAGTAAATCCTTTATTATTATTCTAACCCCACAACCACGTATCTTCTGTATCCTTATTAAGTGTTATGCCCTCGATCTTACTTAATTAGTATTTCCTCCTCTCATTCCTTCTCCTATTCAAATTGTTGTCTTCTCCAATTAACTCTCCATTCCCATTTATTTTCAATCCACTCACACTATTATGATATCATCTCATCTTTGTTCACTCCTATTTGTTTCAACTGTGGGAACAAACTACCTAAACTTTGTTTTCTGACCCATATGTCATCCTAAAACCTAATTTTCTCCTTGTTTCCTATCTTCTATTTTACATATTTATCAAACCAAGTCCTACCATCATTATCTTTACGTATTCTTTATATATTTAACAACCATTTTGAGTCCTTCTTAATGTTCGTCTAAAACTCTCTAAGACCCATATTTGGTTTCTATTACAATTTTTCATAATCCTTTTATCTCAATACCTAGTCTCCATTTCCATTTTTTATGCTAAAATTATATCCTAAAATTATATTAGGTTATACTAATAAACGTCATTTTTTAATCTTATTTTTAAATAAAATTTCACTCATAGAAACTTATTTTTTACATGCACACACTTTGATTTATCATAAATTAGTATTCATTTATTTCAAATAGATAGGTTTAAATCCTTCTATTTTATTATTTATTTTGTTTATCAATAAAACAAATAAGATCTAAATATGTTTTTAGTCTTTAAATTTTGGATATTTTGTTTATTCCTCTAAATTAAAATTTTCATGTTTTAGTGCCTAAAATTAAGAAATTTTTTTTTTGCTTAGCACTAAAGCATTATATTTATTTTTTACGTGAGTAACAATATCTACCTCAATAATCACACATGTAACTAAAATAATGACGTGAATTTTTTTAAATGTATTTTTAGTTTTTAGTCTTTCAATAATAATGTGATTTTTTTAAGTTCTTAAATATAAGTCCCTCAGATATAAAATTATTTTTATCAGTCTTCTCAATTTAAAAAAATATTATTTTATTCCCTAAATTTAATAATCATTTTTTAAGTATTCGAATAATTATATTTTTTTCTTCTTCTTATAATAATGGTACGAGCGATTACAATATGTCTTACCTTCTACCTTTTCATCTTAAAATATTATATAATAATTTAAATTTTGCTACTTTAAAATAGAGATAAATCTACATCTCAAAAATTTGCTTAAAAACACATGGTTAATTACTTATGCATGTTCACACAAATGTGTAATCTTATTTAATTTTAAAATATATTAAATCATTATCAATTTATATTTAATAATTGTATATAATTGCTAATCTCTTCAATCCTCTCTCTATATATAAATCCATTGAGTATGATGCATTTTGTCTCTATCTCAATTTGATATATTCAAAGTAAAAAAGGTTGCAAATAGTTAAAATAAAAATTAAGTATAGTTATACATAATTAAAAATTAAGGTATTTCATAAATAAAATTCAAAGAGCCAACATTATAGAGAATTATAAAAATTAATAGTAAACCCATATGTATAAACTCTTAAAAAAACATGAAAAGTAAAAGAATATCCAAATGATACTTTAAAAGAGAAAAAAAAAAGTGGCAAGGAAGGAGAGGTAGTGAGAAAAATAAAATGTTGAAAGGTTTGAAAAAATTGGATATATATGAATCGTTGAAATTCTTGAAATCCCAGATATCATATGTAATCACTAAATGAACACTAATCACCTGGCATAGGTGTGTATATCTATTGTTTAGTCTCAAAATATTTAATAAATAAGATTAAGTTTAAGAAATTTAAAATTAATAAAAATTATTTTTAAAATAATACATTATTTAATTATTTAATAACTAATAATAACGTCAAAATAAAACACATCTGATATGACCTTATTATATACATATAAAAAAAATACAATCTATCTATCTCTTTATAATATA